GGCAAAGCCTTGAGGGCGTCCAACGATATCGATGAACTTTGCAAACGGAAACTTGATCACACCAGACACGAGCCCGGAAACAATGCCCGTGGCAGCGGTGAGGCCGTGCAGCTGGAAAGAGCTCGTCACATATGGCGTCCATGAGTAGTTGGCCTGCTGTTGAAGAGAATCCGTAAAATAAATGATCCAAATCCTGCGCGATGCTCGACTTAGAGAATTGCCACTGTGAGGGAGGTGGATTAGGTCAACGGTACATCGCATATGCTGCAAACAGCCACTTTTTGTTCCATGTCGACGTAATCGTCTCCATTTGCCTGATACCCGAGGGCACTTCCGGGTCTTGTACGCCATGCTTAGAAAAATCGTTGTTGATGTGATCTTCAGCGGCTTCTTTCCGATCGACAAGGCTATTCACGGCATCTAGCTCTGGCTTAGGAGACAGTGGGATAGTAGAAACAGGCGATGGGTTTGCAACAGACATGGGTAGTCCGTTACCAATGATATCCATGGCGACCCAAAGGATGTATGTTAGATATGTTAACGATGAAAGGTAGGGGAAGGGGAAAGAGAAGAGGAAGACGGATGCGACGATACGATCTCCGAACTGCTTGAGAAGGCACACGGGAAGCAATGCTATATGAAAGAAACTTTCCACCAATGTGACCAGGGCTACAGAAGTGGTGGCATCAGAAGCGTGATCGGGATCTTTTGCATGTGCTTGGAGGGGCCATGCTCTATCTTCTGGCAGAAATTAGCAAGAATGAAGCCAGGAAAGCCTCGTACTGAACTACCACCCCTTGTCTTTGACATAATTTGATGGGTACGGTCTAATTTAGCTCCCTAGAGTTATTACGCTAGGTGGTACTCTCGCACACTGACAGGCATGGATGATTCCATGTCTATCGGAGACGCTCGACAATGTAGGAAACTGGGACGGGGAGTCTGCCTCTGGATGTGTAACTAATTGGGCTAGTAGCATAATACTGTGTGGACTTCTCATTAGATCGTACTGGGGTGACATCCTTGGTGTGAAACTGGTTGCAATCGAGGTGGATAATCATGAATCTGATTCTGTTAGTAGGCGGTGTCACTCTTTATTAGCCAGTTTTAGTGGATGGGCGGCTGTGGGGGGTTTACAGGCTTGTAGCACAATCGGATAAGATAAGATGGATTAGACAAGATTAATAAGTCGTACGGCTGAGGTTCTACTGAGCTCTGGATTGCATGATTGAAGTAAAGAGATCAGACGGGTTCAAGCTACTTAGAGAGAATATTACCTCGATCAGCCAACCGATACCGGCCTCAAATCTATACTATATTGTGCTCAAGCCAACCTTAGTGCAAGTGGTCTCTCATTAACTAGGACAAGACCGAGGGGGCACCGAAGGGAACGCCGGTTTGTTGAAAGGATCCGACTTCGCACTGATTGATCATGGGAGTTTATAAATATCTTCAAACCTTCGTCTCCAGCCGGCGTTCCACTTTGGTACTTATATATAGATATATATTTTGCAAGTCTTCGAGTCTTAACTTAAGTGCTGAATCGCCTGCTGAATCGCCGGAGGATAATTTGCCAATTACTTTAGAAACATGGTGATTTAGCTCGGAAACTAATTTGAGTGTTGTAACACTCTCACTGCTTTACTTGTCCTCGAAATAGATCGCAATTAGAGACCAAATCGTAATTTGAATCAGCCTCGACGATACTCTGCACAATATCACTTGTCTTATAACAGTCGTCATCCGCGGGGACTCGCGTTGTCATGGCCTTTTACCGTGGGAGGCTCTTTTGGCTAATTCAGCGAAAGATATTTCCTTCCGGGCCAACCTTTTTTCTAACGCGTGAAAGACACTAATGTCCATCTCGGCCTTTTTACTTTCGATCGCGAGTTCGAGATAAGTTTTGTTCGTATTTCTTCGAATTGTCATAATCAATTTTTGACGTTTGAGCTGGTCTCTATTGAAGTGCTGAACGTTCGACACGAGTGCCTTGACGATCCTTGTCCTCTAGGTATGAGTTACTTGCTGCAAGCCATTCCCGTGGACCATATGTTCATCGGCCACTGATTATAGTTTTATAGTTGACTATGCGGCGTAAGCACGCTCGGATATCCTCCAAAAGCTTCAATGCGAGGTCCTCCCACCTATTTCTGTTGGCTTGAAAGACGGACACGCCATACTCAACACCAAAATTCGGCTCGTTGGCTCTCGTGAATAAGACAATACCTTTCGACGACCATGCGTAGATTTACTCATAGAGCTCTTGAAGATGATTCCTGTAGAGTCGTTCAAGTTCGCCGAGCTTTCCCTCCAAAATTCTTTTGTGTATGGGCCTGACCTGTTGAAGAGATCAATCCGGCGGCTGGTGATCTGCTCACTTTCTACTAATGGTAGATGGAGCAGCACGTCGGCAATTGTATTTGTAATTTCGAATAACTTGTTGGTAAATCCCCCGCGGTATAGCTCACCGGCTCCGGATGATATGTGCTCTAGAAAGCATCGTAATTCACTTGAAAGCTGTACCGGCATGGCCAAAGAGAGCGCCTCAGATGAAGGCTTGTTCGACGACGTTAGGAAGTTCGAGATGGCCATCTGCCATGTCAGCGTACGCAGCCACTGGCGCGTGACTATCAAGTCGGCCTGCTGTGTCATCGAGAGCCGTCCCACCTCGAGCTGCCACGCGTCGTCAGCAAGGTCGTTGTGCTTGCGCTGAATCCAGTCGGCTGTCACGCGTGACCGGTCCCCCGTCCAGCAGCTCACAAATTCCCTGTCGACGACAAGGGAATTCTTAATTATACAGTTCCAGCCCTGCTCCACCTCGTGCGGAGTAGCGGTGTTCACGTCCGGGAGGCTTGGTAGCGGGTCCAAACAGATGGTTGTTGAGGAAACCAGGGCGAGCCATCGCTCATGAACAAAGCACAGCCAATATATACGTTGTCGGCGGGCTCGCTCCGGGGGGTCCAGAGTCTCTGAAGTTAGCGGTATGTGCTGTTGGAGCATCTGCACCAGTGTTATCGCCTCACGCAGGTAGAAGAAGGACATAGAGACGCTGTCAAGTATCGCGAAGACCACTTCAAGGAAGATGAGTGCCACAAGTCGAGTGATAGTTGGCGGGGAGACTTTCATGGGCTCATAGTGCCCCAGCGCTAAGGAAACCATGTTGTCTACCTGTCGATCAATGTCCTCCTCAGTAGCAGGAACTCGGTTTGAGACCGTGACAATACTAGTAAACGCATATACTAGCATCGCAGTTTCGTGGTTTGCGTTCATATTCTGAATGTGGTTGCGTATTTCTACATCACCCATGACCGGACAGACTGGATACACATGTTTGACGTAATGAGGAAGCAAAGAATAGAGCGTTTCAGGTTCTAGATGCTCGAAAGTAGGCCCGGATGAGCTCGCGATAATGGAGGAGGCCTGAGGAAGGAAAATAGGACTATCTTGGTCGATCGCAATTCGATATTGTGTGATCAGGGTGCCGCGCTCGACGGCCCCTAAACGTGAGCGACTGCTAGGCCCAGAGCTGTAGACGCATGGTAAGTCATGCCGAACACACTGCAGGCACCGTGGTTGGCTATCGCAGCGAACTTTGCGCCGCTTACACGCGTCGCAGGCTCGTGGACCGCGGCGAGGGATGTTTGTGGAGACGCTCATCCAGAGGCGACAGCTGATGTTCGTGTGTCCTTGAACCGACACCTCATTGCACAACTTGTGTTCTTTGCAAGATGTGACTAGAACGGAGGGCGTGCTTAGACTAGGGATGGTAGGCTAGTCCTGATTGATTCTAAGTAGACAGCCAGGGTGCTCAACAAAGTAATAAGAGTACATGACAAATTATCATGTCACTCTCCCAGCTTACTGGGTGAAAGAGTCACATAGAGAGGGGGAAAGCCAGTGGATAGAATATAACGTTGATAATCCCTCTTGATCGTAGATGGCGGAAGTCCTCTCAGAGTTTGTGGCCGTAGTCGGTATTAGGAGTGAAAACTCACATCGGACCAAACCCACATGTCGGACCGAGCCCACATGTCGGACCGACCCCTGGGTCAGGGCCTGATCGGTAGCAAGCATTACAGACGAGCCCCGTTATAAAGCTACATCCAACCTTACCACCGTATGTAAGTGAATGACGGTCGAATAAGGAAAGGCTAGGATTAAATAAGCGACTTGGCCTTATCTCACTAGTTCTTGGTGTTTCTATCATCTCCAAGACGACTCTGTGATCGGGGCTTCAACGACCAGACGAAATCTTCAATATAAAGATCCAATGTCTTCATTCTCTAGATCACTGGGGCCAACAAGCCTTTTGAGTGTTCCTAATTACTCCTTGTTTTATACGCCTCTTATATGCTTGCTTGGGATCAATCTAACCCCTCCAGTCACATTCTATTAAACAAGGTCTTCCATAAGGTCGAGCTATGACTGTGACTACCCAACCATGGTGGAAGGACGCAACCGTCTATCAAATATACCCTGCCAGTTTCAAAGATACGAATGGGGACGGTATAGGGGACCTACCGGGTATTTTGTCTGAGATTGACTATATCAAATCCCTAGGTGCCGACGTCATTTGGATCTGTCCCATGTACAATAGTCCTCAGTGTGATATGGGTTACGATATCTCGGATTTTGAAAGCGTCTACCCCCCATATGGCACAATTGAAGACATGGACTGTATTATAGCTGCCTGCCATGAGCGTGGCATGCGAATTATTCTCGATCTCGTCATTAACCATACATCAGATCAACACGACTGGTTTAAAGAATCACGCTCTTCTAAGGATAGTCCTAAGCGTGACTGGTATATTTGGCGTCCGGCCCGTTATGACTTACAGGGTAATCGACAACCACCTAACAACTGGGCCAGCTGTTTTGGCGGTAGTGCTTGGCAGTGGGATGAGTTTACACAGGAATACTACCTACATCTGTTTTGTCCGGAGCAGCCAGATCTAAATTGGGAGAATGCTGAAACTCGCGTTGCCATCTTCGAGTCGTCTATGCATTTCTGGCTACGTAAGGGAATTGACGGGTTCCGTATCGACGTTGTGAACATGTATGATAAAGCACCCGGGCTGCCTGACGCTCCTATAACTAACAAGAACTCGCCATACCAGATGGACGTGAGCCTGTTCTGCAATGGTCCTCGCATGGGCCACTACCTGACCGAGATGCAGAGCGTCTTATCCCAGTATGGTGTCACTATGACAGTCGGCGAATTGCCCGCTACATGGGACCGCGCAGGTCTTCTACGCTATGTGTCGGCAGCCGCCAAACAGCTCAACATGGTGTTTCAATTTGACGTGGTCGGCGTCGGGCGACCGGGTCTGGACGATGATCTCGACATCGCACCCGGAGATAATTGGGCCGTGCCGGACCTGGCCAAGGCCGTGGCCAACACCCAGAACCTCCTGCGAGACTCTGACGGCTGGACCACTGTGTTTTTGGAGAATCACGACCAAGCCCGATCAGTATCGCGGTGGGGCAGCGATGCCACGGAAGAGAGCCGCGTGCGTAGTGCCAAACTGCTGGCGACCCTCTGTGCAACACTGTCAGGGACGTTGTTCATCTACCAGGGTCAAGAAATCGGCATGGTCAACGCCCCGCCGTCTTGGACGATTGAAGAGTATAAGGACGTAGCTACCATCAACAATTACAATGAAAAGAAGCAGGAATCTGGCGGAGACCCTAAGGTCCTAGCTTATACAATGGCCAGCCTGCAGCGTCTGGCGCGGGACCATTCCCGTATTCCGTTTAGTTGGAACGCCAGTCCCAATGCCGGTTTTACGATCGATGGTGCAAAACCATGGATGCGTGTCCATGACAATCACAGGTTGGTAAAGGCCAAACAGCAGATCGCCGATAAGGACTCTGTCTTGTCGTTTTGGAAGCGCGTACTTTTCCTACGCAAAAAGTACGCGGACGTACTTGTTCATGGAATTTACGAGCCAGTATTAGATCAACACGCAGATGTCTACATGTACATCAAGAAGGGCACAAAACGCAGCACCATAGTTGCCCTCAACTTCTCGAACAAGGAGCAGACAATGACACTACCAGCTGCAGTCTCTACATCCGACCTCACATTGGTAATAAGTTCCTATGGAGATTATGTCATCGATAAATTGAGGTCTTTTGAGGCAGTCGTTTGGTTGACCAACAAATGAAACAAAATGCTCTAGTGGATATTATTCTATAGATTTCAGAGTCGTCGGTCAATTTATTTACAATTGCCAAAGGCAACGTTAAAGTAAAGGGTCAGACACGGCGAATCACTCAAATAAAGTCGATGACAGGTTGATGATTACGTCAAAAAGATTTGATCACTTTTATCATTCTTGTTTCCCAAAGTGAAACGAATGAATCAGGTCTATCAACGGTTGATGGCCTATTCACGTTGTCTGAAAGAAATACCCTAAAGCATGCCATATATATTGCCTCACGCGGCGGTGTATTTCCCTTATTGACCAATTGTGCTACCCTACCCTAGACTTCAGGTTAATGGTTTGTGCATCTTGTAGACTCCCGATGACGACAATTATATGACACCTAAAGGAAGGCCTGAAATCCGTTGGTGGCTGCATCATCACCTATTGACAAAGCCTAGGTCACTTAATTAGCCAGGAATATCACGGCATAGGGTGGAAGTGTATGAATTATGTGAATCAACGGCTAGGCTCGTTTGAGGTAAGGGATCTTCGGCATTTGAGCTCCGTTTCCACCGATTGCGTGTTATTCACTGCACACTGGGTTTGGAATTGCATCTCATCGTGCCCCTTCTCAATTCCGCTCGGAAGCCGTGATACCAAGGAAGAAGGAGAGATTCCCTGTTCGTGGGAAGACTTTCCTGTTTAGACTCTCCTTCTAAAACCTGCCTTACCATGTCATATCCCCTCAAGGCTTGAAAGACATCACGCCCGACAACCCAGATTCAACGCACATACCGCAAAGATGGGGCTGTTCACGGTTGCCACATTTCCTTTTGCGTGAAGCGTGAGTGGGCTAGGCGTTATCGTAACCACATCAACATCTGTATATATACAGTGTACTCCGAGAGGTCCTATGGCTTCACCGCTGCGATTGGCTGTTCAAACAGTGATATACGTCGCTCGATTTCTAGGAGATAGATTATCAGTAGTCTGGCATCTATAGCCGTATAGATTCAGGTGTTAGCTGTGATACAACGGTTTCATATACCACTGGCGATGAGAGGCCTCTTACTCTATGTCCCTTACTCTCGTTCGGGTCAAATACTGTGTAAAATTTCATGGGCTACATGTTTATAAGAAAAAGAAAGTTTTGGTCAAAACGAAAATTGTATAGGAGACTATGTCATCGTCTAGTGCGGTCCGATATATTTTGGCCTTCTCATTCAGCACGCCATATCTCCTCAATACACCCTACGTGAACCTATAAATAAAGGCGTGCTTCATTTTCGGCAGCCTAGTATGCTGCTTTTTGTATTTGTCTAAGTGTTACTTCTCAGCCGTAGAAGTGTACATTGACAAATCGCCTTGCGGTTGAAGTTATGATTTCATCTGTGAACAAGGTAGACCACCGTATAGTACTATCCTGTACCGGCTCGACGTACCACTAGGAACGAAAGATTAAAATACAGCTACGCGAGTGTGGATAGACACGTTCAACCCATCTCCGGTAATCACCGATATTCTAGCAGCATTTCCATGAAAAACTGGGAGGATGCATATAAAGGTGGCTTGCCAGGCCCACGGTCTTTGGTGTGCTGACAAATGCTCCAACACTCTGAAGTCTTCATGAAGTTGCTAATGTAAGAGCTGCTTCAGAAACTATGATGACATCGGAGTCCATACCCAAGGTTCATTATTGAACAGAGACGTGACTCGTTGACTTTGAATATCAAGATCATCATCACAGCTAGAAAAATCAAAAAGAACTTGACTCATTTCTATAGCTTATTCAGTATTGAGTCAATTAAGTTCAAGTAAAATTTCTAGATCTTGCAAGAGTTGCCTTGGATTGTTCCTTAGTATCGCACTTTCACCAATGTGTGGAGCCTCTGTTCTCGGTTCCAGAATACCGAACTTTGCAATACGTCGTGGGGAATAACTCCAGGCACCAAGAATGAGGTACGGAAGGAGAGTAGAGAGACTAGGCTTCTAAATTATTGTCTCGGGGTCGACTCGGAAGCGAGTGAAAGCAGGTTATGGCTGTCGAGAGGATATAAAGACATCTGCCTTTTAAAAATTCGAGCCACAGGGACGTCTCCGATTGAAGAACTTCGGTTCGAGCAGGAAAGAAGGGCAAGTTGTTAAACACTTCCAGAAGTTGGTGTCGTGAGATTCAGCTGATGTTACGTAGCGTTAAAAGCAGCTCAGTGGGCCCGTCTCGGCGCCGCTCTCGCCGGGGTCTGGTCAAATACGCCTTCGTCCTCAAGGCCGCTGAGCAGCGCCAAGGGCTTAACGGGGCCGACTAAGGCTTGCTAAACAGCGTAGATATAATATATGCTGGTCACTGCTGATACCTGCAGCTTTGTCCATTGTCCCTCACATTGATGCTTCTATTATTATGCTTCCCTACTGCACATCCGTCAAAATGTACTGGTGACTTGAAGTTACCACAAAAAGGTCAGCATGTGGTTTGTCTTGGTTCTTGGGAGCATCTGCCAGGGACGGCGCACAAAACTTGGACGGAACCCCTGTCGATGGCGCATGAGAGCGGATCTGAAGTGCCGCACAACGGCCCGCTCAGACCTGACCATGACGCAGTCGCCGAGACTAGGACACTGTTTTCTCTTCAGCTTGGCTCAATGTCGCCCAACCAGGCCCCCACGATAAGCTGCAAAAGCTTGCTTCTAACGCGGTTAGCGACCAGGCGACCGAGCTAGAGTAGCTCGAGTGGCCTCCTGCGCAGTAGAGCCGCCCGGCCAGCCACTGCTCATCGTGGCTCAACCAAGGAACTAGACTCCTGACTACGCTGCAAGGCTCTCTCGTTGCAGTCGATAGCGCGCCGTATAGCCGTCCTTTTGGCGCGACAACAAGCAGACAACGACCTGAAGAGGGTCTTGGATGGATTGAACGGCGGGCAGGCCACCTTTCTTGATGTTTCACATCCTTGCTGCTGGGGCCGGCGTCTTTCTTATCTGATGCCTTGACGGTCAGATTATGACATACCTCCCTGTCGCATCCAGAGATCCACTCTCCGCCCGTACCGCACTATCTTTGTACAGTGGTGGGGGCTCTTGGGTGCAAATGGTGTCAACTGTGTTTCTGTGCCGTCGCCAGGCCATGCGGTCGGTGGGCCTTGCTTCCTGCTGCCGCCATAACCTTGCCCTGCTTTCCCTGTTCAGCCTGGGCAACGCTCTCCATGCCCGTTCCTGGTTCACAGTCCGAACATGACAGGATGCCCACATGGGATTAGCCTAGCAGGCGATGATGTCGTGCAACGGGCGCATAGGTAACGGGTGGAGCGAGCTTGGTGCGGCTTGAGCTCTGAGCTTTCTTGTTCAAATAGCTTGCCCTGCCCTGTCCTCCCCATCCAGCCTTGTGGGCTTACCATCTCAAGATCGTATCTGTTGACATTCGTTTTGCGATTCATCAAATCGCAACTTCGCTCGTTGATCGAGCTCGGGCTCATGCACTCGAGATTACTGGATCCCACGCAATAAAGAGGCCATCCAGCCTCTCCACAACAAGGCCAGCAGCATGCGCCGCTCGCTACTCTTTGGCCTCGGCGCCGCAACACTCGCGGCTGCGCAACCATCCGTTCCAGTCTTCACTGTCGTGGTACCAGGCCTGTCCACAGACACCAGCATTGGCAATGCGATTTCGACGAAGATAGACACCGTCACGTGGGTCAACAACGTGACAACGACCACGGTGTATGTCTGCCCAAGCAGTAGTAAAATCGGAGAAAGCACAACCTCGAGCGTAGCTCTCAGCTCTCCTCCTAAGGCGGAGTCCTCTCTGGTAGCATCTACCACCATCACTACTGCCAACACAACCACATCGCCGCCTGCAGCCCTTCCAACTGCGGCGGGCGAGCAAATCAACTTTGAGGGGAGCATGATGGGGCTGGTTGTGTTTTGCGCACTCGGCCTGCTCATCTTATGAGACGCGACTTGACAAGTGAGGTGGCCATTTCCAGGGCCCAGGGATATTAATCGACATGATCATGGAGTTGCATGAAAGGCGTTCACTTGATACCACGGGAGGGATGATTGAAATGTTTCTTCTTTTGGGGGGCATCACCAGGCGTTGAAGGCGGCTCAACATGACTAGATCCTTGCATAGATGATATATATGATATGATAAATCGAATCCGTTGTAAATGCTCCTTTTCCCATGACCAGTAAATGCTTCTCTAAACGCCTCCCTGTGAAGTGCCGGTGCTGGGACAACAGTGTGCTCGTCGCACGGCTTATCGTCTATCTCGTCTCTTACGTTGTTCTCCGCGGCTTCCCTACATCAGCTAGGCCTCCTCAACAGCTAAAGTAGATATATCGGTCGAATATCCGAGTTAGATCTTCCCCCTCTGACCGAATCATTTTCAGACAAAGGTGTGCTCAGTGGACAGGTGTGCAGCGGTAGGCTGGCAGCTGACTGGTATTGCCATCGTGGGCATCCGGAACCAGCAGCTCGTCTTTGCCGGATCTCGAGGTGCTATTCGGTCGTAAAGCTGGTTTCAAGCAATTCTCATCGCTTAGCTCGAGTCTCTTTACACCGCCACGGGGACCTGGGCGGGCTGTTCGGGCTGCGGCTCGGGTTCGGGCTCATCTGGCTTGGGGAGATCATCCTTAAATAGACTATTTAGCCAACCTCAACCACCGTTGAGAGAGTGCAACTGCGCGCTTACCACTTCGTATATAACCCTGATCATGAGGCTACAGCTGGGGCAGACGGCGATGTCGTTGGAGCTGTCCTGGAGGTCGACAAGTGCAATCTCGAAGCGGTCGCCACAGGGGCATGGATAGTGGTAGATTTGCATGTCCTCGTCGAAGGTCATGTCCTCGATCTCGACCTCATCGTAGACCGAGATTTGCTCTTCGTCGTCGGACATCGTGGCTAAAGTTGTAATAGAGCCGATTCTACTATGTTGTGCTGTCCTTGTAGTTTGGGGAAGTGTCTTTCGCGAGGATTGAAGCCTGAGTCAACTTTCTTGCTGGTGATGGCGGGGCATCGCGTGGCGAGGGGCAGAATAAAAAATGTTTAAGGCTGTTAGCGGGTCAAGCCACACTTACTTCATCCCTGGTTCGCCGGTCAAGCCACACTTGAAACTACCAAGTTTGTCCTCCAATGAATACCACGAAAATCCTGTTATTGACGACAGACGGTATTTTAGGATTATAGATCTCTGAGATCATATCTGGCTGCCTGGGTTGGATTCTGGTGCTACCCATACCTTACTTGGGCTTGATTTGGTATACATCAAACTAGCAATCGACAAGCAACTCTCAGCACTGGTGATGTCTACATGCACAACACTGCGCCTACCGCGCTATCCTTCGGGACAAGGTAGAAACAAAATTAGGCAAAGAAAATGAAGGGCTTTTTGCAGAGTTGATCAAGTCACGGCTCGTAGATTCTCGGACAAGACGGCCACAAACAAGTCCATTCATTGATCACTCTCCGAGCCCTAGCGTCTCCGATTGCCGTCTTCGGGCACACTAAAGTCCAGGGGTCGGGACTTCGGGCATCCCGGTGTGCCGCAACTCCTGTCCACAAGAAGAACATCGCCCTGTCTTGTCATACTCTGCGGACGGAGTTAGGGATTAGAAACGTAACAAATGTTTCTGTCTTGCTGTCGAGATGCCAATCATGTCGAATACGTTGTTCAGGCCAAGGAGCCCGGAGATAGGACTTTCTTTGGCATCGACTTTCATGGTTTCGTCCCTGGCAGGTTCGATGGGCTGACCAGCCTGAAAAGAGTACAAAGGCATCTTGATTGCTGCACTCAACCATCGCTTCACGAATTCATTTCATTCTTCTAGCGTAATTATTCTTCTTTGAGAGAGTATAAGATTTTGACTGATGTCAAAGTTAGCTCGAAAGTGATAGAGAGCTCTGATTGAAAGTGAGGCAGGAGCACATCACACCCTCGTGCCGAAGGATAGAATCCCTGACTTAAAGTCTCAAGCCTCGACAAAATGGCAGCAAAGTTCCCCCAACGCAAGATTGGCGACGACTTCGTCTCCAAGATAGGTCTCGGTTGTATGGGGATGTCTATCAGCCTGACTCCCGGTACCACCAACGATGATGAGGAGAATCTCAGAGTTCTCACTGCGGCAGCTGACATGGGCATCAACCTTTGGGTCACCAGTGACTGGTACGGACCCTACACTAACGAAAGGCTCCTTGGAAGATGGTTCAAGGAGACTGGTCGTCGTGACGAGATTTTTCTCGTCACCAAGTTCGGCTCTAGACTCATCGATGGCAAGATGTTAGTCTGCGGTACGCCGGAATACGTAAGGGAAGCATGTGAAGGTAGCCTTCAGCGATTGGGAGTCGACCGCATCGACTTGTACATGCAGCATCGGGTGGACCCCGAGACGCCAATTGAGAAGACTGTTGAGGCTATGGCACAGCTGAAGAAGGAGGGCAAGGTTCGCTATCTCGGTTTGTCCGAGTGCTCTGCTCGGACGTTGACCAGAGCGCACAAGGTGCACCCGATTGCGGCAGCTGAGATGGAGTTTTCGCCTTTCGCGATGGATATTGAATCGCCAGACACAGATTTCTTGAAGACGGCCAGGGAGCTGGGTGTCAAGATCATTGCGTACTCGCCGCTTGGGCGTGGCTTTCTCACCGGAGCAGTCAAGAGCAGAGATGATTTCGATAAGAACGATATCAGACTAAAAGTTCATCCACGATTCTCTAAAGAGAACTTCCCAGGTAATCTGAAGCTGGTTGAGGCAATCGCGGCGGTTGCCAAGGAGAAGGGGTGCACACCCAGTCAATTAGCTCTGGCCTGGGTACTGGCTCAAGGAGACGGTAAGTAGCCCTGGAATGCCTTACATTTGCGAGTTTATGTGTTAATCTTTCGAAGACTTCATCCCAATCCCAGGTACCAAACACATCAAATACTTGAAAGATAACGCCGGTGCAGTCAGTGTTGAATTCACCAAGAAGGATGAGAAGCGAGTTCGGGATGCCATCGAGAGCGTTGGCGGGGCCAAAGGAGCCCGTTATCCAGAGGGTCATATGGCGCACCTCTTTGGCGATACTCCAGAGTTTGATGCTCAGTGAAGCCTGCGGCGCACAGAACATATATTAGGCATTACACATTGAAATAAGATTGATACAGTCAATTTTCAACATAATAAGGCCTGATCGGACAACGTGGCTGTTTTAAAATTGAGCTGGGTCACACAGGTGACAAGAAATTCCTATCACATTGAAAGTCTATGGCAAGGCTACCATCTCGCCTGTCGGCATGGTTGCGGAGCTTGCCACTGACAGAAGTTGGCCATTTCCAGTATATCTGCCGTGTACGGCAATTGAGATCAAGCGTCGTCTGCCATATTCTAGCTATTTTTTGAACGGGTTATCTTCGATTGTCCAGAAAGTACGCTGAAAGGCTTCCAGCCCCCAACCTTGATGAGGACAGAGCCTGGCTAGTTGCCTAGTTGCTAATAAAGCTCCGAACGCACGATGTCCGGTGCATCTACAAACTTAGCAAAGAAGAACGTCAAGTATCGTGAAAGAGACAATTGGTTCTGAAAAGTTGGGTTGTCGAAAATGGCTTTCTCAAGGTCAAAGCCTCCATACAACCTAACAAAGATCATGGAGGGGTATTCTTCTGCCTTGCGAAGCATACTGTCCTTCTGGCAGCTAAGAAAGGATCGGTCTCTTACAACCCGCCGCCACGAATAGGCGGCTTGCCAATCATCAGACCACCAGAATCAGCGAAAAGCAAAAGTCCCATTAAACTTCGACTGCAAGCCATTACCGACAAGTACGTTAATTCGACTGCTCAGACTCGAGTCGCTTCTGAATCAATATTGGACATCTATGCGCCTGTGCACTGCTCAATCCTTGTTGTGGATTTAACGGATAACCCGCCCGAACACGATGCGCTCTCATACACCTGGGGCGACCCTCGCACGCTGTACACCGATGTTTCAGAGGTCTCCTCGTCAGAATCATGGGCGGCGCCTGCGTTCGATATATTTTGTGATGGAAAGCCGATCTCAGTCAATACCAATTTGTGGACGGCTCTCTTGGGCATTCGGCGGTTCACAACTCAGGTCTCTCGCGATACAAGGGGTCTCAAAGTAGCACCTGCGAGATACTTCTAAATTGATGCCTTGTGTATCAATCAACAGGATCTTTCAGGGAGGAACCAGCAGGTCCTCTTGATGAACCAAATATACCGAACAGCAAAGAATGTCTACGTGTGGCTGGGCGGTGAGGATGGGCTATGCGCAAACTGCAATGGAGATATTGCGAGACATGGCTAGTTCACAGCCAGTGACCGCGAGGAGGCTCAGTATACCTTTCTCAATCGCGCCTGGTTTCGAAGGGCTTGGGTGCTTCAGGAGGTTGTACTAGTTAAGAAACAGTCTATTCCTCTGCGATCTCTTCGTTTTCATCGAGAAAATGGTTTCAATGCACTCGTGCTCTTATTCAAGTCTCGGTGGATTTACCAAATCAGAGCGCTTGCAGAACTCATCATCCATGGCCCTCATATTCAGGAGCAAAAATCCCAAAACGTCAATTTTCCGACTCACTTGAAGCTCTACCAGGGCATGCCCCGAAACTCTTTCGAGCGTGACTTTTATGTTTTAGTCGTCAACGCGCGAGCTGGTCTCAATATTGACGGCGACTTTCACTCTCGAAGTAAAAACGCCAAGCCTGACTCCCTCCGGACCGCCCTCTATAAATACCGAGGACTTGAGGCCACCGACCTGAGAGATAAGGTGTATGCGTTTATGGGTATTGCGGAAGAGTTCTTGGGCGACAAGAACGAATTGGATCTTGTCCCTGACTACTCTCGATCTGTCGAAGGCGTCTATATCGATACGTGTAGCTCGATCATTCGCGCAACTGGAAGTTTGGATATTCTCTCCCTCAAGGAAATCCAGCCGAATCGAACATTGCCATCGTAGGTTCCGGACTTTGAGGTCTACGGACAGCCGAGATGGTTAAGTGAGACCTCTGGCGCTGTGCCATTCTCTGCTTCGAAAGGTCTCGTGCTGCCAAAAGGTGTCACGATCAGTGATGAAATCCGTCTCGAAGCTCATAGGATAAAGCTGTGCGAGATTGAAAAGACTCAGGACTTCGAATTGATGACTTTAGTCGAGACTGCAGACTTTCTTCGTAACTGTCAATCGTCGACGACAGACGACGCCGGCGACGAAGTTCAAACACGGTTTGAAATGTTTTGGTGAACAATTATTGCAGACACCTTCTAAGGGTAGTGCCTAGTGCCTGCAGAATGTTGGATGGCGATCGATAATTTATTGAGAGCTGCCTTCATGGCGCCGTGGTCGTCGGCGATCGCTGTCTTGGTTCAACACGGCACGGACTGGGGCGGTACAAACTACGGCAACACATCATTGGAGCCAGGGGAGGACCTCTTCGTTCCTGGACTGAACTAGGAGGGCTATAAAGAAGAGATTGGGCGTATGTATGCTGCTTGGAATGTCATACGAGAGAGGCTCCCAGCTGGAAGAAGGAGACTTTGTTCCCTGAAGACTTCTTGACTTTTGAAAAGAATTACGAGAGGGCTTTGGCAGCCGATGAAGGGCCGGAATTCGCAATAAATGCTATCCTAGAGGTCGTGAAGGAGATTAAAACCCTGACAGGTGTTCTAGAGACGGAAGTACGGCAACGTATGAATGAGGTAATGGGTCGCAGGGCCCTTTTCACCACCTCTGAGAGATGCTCGGGAGTGGCCCCAGAGACGCCCAAGGAAGGGGACCAAGTGTGGCTGCCCAGTGGCGCATCTACTCCTCTAATTCTTCGAAACATATCAGGAGGGAAGGGTACACATCACCTTGTAGGAGAGGCATACATCGGTCGCTTCATGCATGGCGAGGGAGTGCTCTTGTCAACGGGAAGTGCGGTTCCTGTAGTTATATTGTGAAATACTTTCCACCCACACAAGAAAGTGAATATATGTCAGAATCTTATTGGATATGAGATGAGTGTTGTCAACGTTATGTGGAGGCGTCTTGTAACAGGTCAAGACGAAGATGTCGGCAAACATGAAACTACTTTAGAAAATGTAAGTTGGCGTCCTCTTGGGGTGGTAAAGATATCCATTAATAGAGATAGACACTAATTTGACGGCGGAAAAAGTGTTAGTGTTATTTGTTGATGGTTATAAACACGTCACGTCACCAGTGGGCGTACCTTGCTAATATTTCGCGTCTCGCTTGTTTTCGCAAGCGACTTCTTAACAAGAATAACTTCATGCGTGTCTGCGGCTTATGAGAGACACAGACAACGGCACACACTCACCGAGAATTTCAGCTCATCGACAAAGTCGAAATGTGGTGGTTTCATCTAATCATTGGTCAGGCACTTGACGCACGAATATAAGGGGGCTGGGGAAATACATCCCTCTGATGCCGTTGGAGCGAAGCACAACCAGAGACTTCCCATCAAAGCCACCGGCCTAAAAATGCATTCGCCATCTATGCAAGCTCTTCTTGGAGCCTATCGATTATACGCACAGCATCATCATTAGGGGGCAGGTGGTCGTCTTGCACATGTGAAGAGGGATCCGATCGAAAGGGGGCGCGCGGGTACTTTTTTTTTCCTTAGTCTCCCGCACACCATCCTGCATCCTCTCTTCCGAAACACGCGCCTTGGACAGCTATTAGATGGAATGGCCTTATAATCTGCAGTTCAAGGACCAATTGCAGACGAGAACACAGATAACAACACATAAGAGAGCTGTCGTGGAGCGCGCTGTAAACCGCGTACGTGATGGCTCATGGAAGAAAACCACCCTTACACGCCCACCCCAAAATCCCTAATTTTTTCAAATAATTTAACCTAACTATATTTTATTGTTCAGGGTGATTTCAACATTGAGAAACGCATCTCACTGTTCAAAAACACTTTTAACTAGAGCGCGAAGTCCCCCTTCACTGAGTAAGATATTGACACGCCAACACGAAGCCTGGCTAACAGTTTTCTAGCAATATCATGTCTTCAACAGAGCCAGTCAAACAGTTTTCAGACGCTGCTAGCCAAACCACGCATGCGGAGTCACCCAAGCTTGTTCAATGCTCTCAATCTCAGCTATCCACCGAACTGCCGACTGGTCCCGATCATCGAGAACATATTCTACTGGGAATAGGCGCTCATCTCGATGACACAATTGCGTGTGAATTCTTCACGATAGAAGCAAAGCTTTGAGTCGGACAGCTGTAACGACACAGTCGAGGCCACCTTCATTTTGAGTGTCACGGAATGTCAGATAATTTGTTGGGTTCTGAGGATGATTACAAGTTGTCAAGAAAACCGACTGATGGATTGCACTTCAGGTTCCTGGAGATTACTGAAAGATACAAACATTTAGTCGGGAGTGTTGTGAGCACGGAACTTCTTTACTGCTGCCATTGTCGCTGCGTCAAAAGGCTTGAATGTTTAATGATAAGCGGGCCATCTTTGCTGTTTGATCAGCCTACATAGCTTTGGTGTCAAGACTCGCTGGATCACAATAGTTCAACATGTCTGTTTCTTCTATCACAGCTCCCCTCTCAGCTGCTGACCCAAGCCATGAAAACTCCGTTCCTCAAATATCTTCACATCGTCCTCCGCCCACACTCTTCCTTCCTTCTCTGCCTTAATCCTGAGCCTTCGCACACGAGCAACGTCCGCCTCCGTATTTCTCGTTAAATACCACAACCAAGTGTTTGATAGAGCCCCAATACCAACGCACACAGTGCAGATGATGAACGAGTTCTTATATCCATTGTGTGCCCATCGCGATGGGAAGAGCTGTGGCGCAATTACGCCGCCGACTTGGGCTACTGAAGTCTGCAAAGCAAGGGTGAATGCTGTGCCGGTAGTGCCAATCAATGTCGCGGACCGCCATGCCCAGAACGGAACGAAGTACACAAAGTAAAATGCCATTCCCAGCACACAAGCAGCATATGTTGCCCCTTTACTGACGGGTAGACAGAGCACAATGTAGAATATAAGGATACCAACCGTGAGAATCTGAATGAAAAGTGGCCGCACAATATAAGCTTTCCGCAAGAACCACGCGGCTAGTATGATACCTATGA